AAAGTTGTAGGTAGTAGCTGTTTACTTTCCATTGACATTTTTTGGACATTTCTTACCTAATGGTTTATGTTTTCTTATTTGAATGATTTTCGATAATTGTTTATGTCAAAAGTATCTATTTTATATATGCCATGATCCAAAAATATAGTTGTTTATGTCAAACTTTAGTAAAAAAATAAAACCAAAAAAATAAAGCACCATGCTATTTCTTACATGAGTAGTTGTTTGTAGTTTCAGGGACCAGTCCCAGAGGCAGCACCAACTGAACTCTTATTTTCAAAATATATGTATTTGTTTAAGGTAAGTTTACAACATGCCATTTGTTTATGCCTAGAAAGTATTTATTTCTTTTATTGCATAATAAACATTGTCTTTTAAAATGTAGATGCTAGGATCCACTACACATGGTCAAGACTCAAGAATGTTAGTTAAATTGTTATCTTTTTGTGATGTGTAGGAATAAGGTGTTGAAGTATAATCTAATGATAAGAAGTATGTTTCTATTTCTTGTAGTGTCATTTTGTCTAAAAAATTAGTTAGGAGCGATAAACAGGTAGGTGTTCAATTTTTTTTACAGGAGTAATTTAGGAAGATGTTTGAAGTAAGAACTTGGTCCTTAATTATGGGCACAAGGGTCTTAATAAGAAAATATATAAAATTGTAAAAACTTGGTTTCTGTTTTTTTCTATGAATAGAAAAAGTCAAATTTTCAGGATAAAGTTTTCTGGAAATGATTATTTGAGATTTCAAATGGTTTTGGTAATGATGGTTTTGAAAGGAACAGGTAATTTGGGTAATTTATAAATCTGTTGGAATAATAGTGTTAATTAAATCATCATTGTCTTAAAATTTAGTAGTTGCTTGGACAAAGTTTGGATATTTCTTTATATGTCTGATTATAACATTGTACTTTGAAGTTTGATTTTTCATTATTCTACAAGTATAACTATTTTTTTCAGACTAAATATTTGTATAACCAGGTTTCTTTACAATAACCTTCATTAGATATCAGAAGCTTTTTAGACTTTATATTCCATTTTTCATTCATTGAAAGTCAATTTAAACCTTAATTTGACTATTAGGAGATATAGGTTAAGTGTCTTCCTTACAGTTATTCAATCATTTTTCAGGCAAAATGTAGCTACATAATCATTAGTATGCTCTCATACTTAGGTTATAAACTTTTGGTGTTTAGGAAGTTCTTCTCTAACCATAAATTATATGAACTTTTGTCTTTTATAGGAAAGAGTTGGTTAGCATATGGCATATATAGCATAACAATCGTGATGTGTAAAAGTTTATGTATTGTATTTCATGTAATTATTTTTCCCTTTTCTAATTTCATTATTTTAAATAACGCATTGATTTGTAATGAAGTTATGATCATCATAACGATAATTTACTATTTGCTTATACAATTACTAAAAATGTATTAAAAATGTATGACATGTGAATCTAATCTCCTTTGATCTATACAAGAATTCTAATCTTTTTGATTTTATATTTGAAATATAATAAAATCAATAACCAGAATAAAAAAAATATAAAATAGAGGATTACAAATGTACTTTTTGGAAATTTAATAAGAGATGGGATCCCCTAATTGTCTAAAAAAAACTATTCGTTGCGGCTATTTTGCATAAAACAACGACACACATGCGTATATTTTGAAACCAAATTGCATTAACCTAAAACGACTATTTTGCATAAAACAACGACACACATGCGTATATTTTGAAACCAAATTGCATTAACCTAAGATAACAATGTGCTTATGTTTTTAATCAAATACATCGCCGAGAAGAAAAAAACCAACCACTTGCATCTGTGCTCAAAAACTATTCGCCGTTCACCGGATGGGAAATAATTCACAAAATGAAACTATATGTGGCCCTCAAAATAGAACATTCAAAAACTATTCGCCGCCGCCGCATTGCGCGGGTAAACGACTAGTATATATATATATATATATATATATATATATATATATATATATATATATATATATATATATATATATATATATATATATATATATATATCGTGTATTTTAATTGTTAATTATGCTTAGTGTTTACAGTTTTAAGAATATTAGTAAGTCGTTTGGTCGATTAGTCGATAGTTATTACAACGTTAATGCACAAAATTAAAACGTTACTTTAACGTTACTTCAATAGAACTCTTCTGTAAATTAAAAGAACCACATAACTAATTTCTTTACTAAACATTAAAATTACCTAATGGTTTTGCTTATTTTTAAATCTTACAATAGAAAAATAAAAGAAATTGGTATATATCATTATCAATTTGTACCAACCAAACTTGTTGGTAGTTGGTACCAACTATACTTGTTATGGTATCGATAGTAGATTTTTTATATCAATTATAGTTGGTACGGTACATGGTTTAGGTAAAAACAAATTGGTATCGTACCAATTTCACCGCTAGTCGTTGTGGTGTCAACTCTCGATTTTACAACATTGATTCAAGAATTAAAGGAATTTAGGGAAATAGACCTTACCTTATCATTATTCTTGTCAATTTTAAAGAGAAAGAGAGGGAGAGATGTTACATAAATGGTCATTGCAGTATAGGAAAATAATCATAAAATATGAAAAAGGAAAAATAAAGGGTCAAGATGTCATTTTACATAAATTTAACGCCAATTTTTTTACGTTGTGTGTCGGAATGACCATTTCCGCAATTTTGACAAAACACAAGGACCGAGCTTATCTATTTTTCTTGAAGTTTGACTTTATGTGCCTATTACACCATACCACATGGACCATTTTTGGAAATTTTTCTTTATTTAAATTAGGATAAATTGCAAGAAAGTCATTATATTACCACGAAATTTCAATTTTGACACCGAGTTATTTTTTTTTTTTTTTTTTTTTGCAATTATGTCATTATATTTTACAATTTTGTTGCAATATCGATCAAATGATCGATTGTCTATGTTCTCCCGGTAACCATTTTTCCCGAATTGCAATAAAGTCACTAAGTTTACCAAAATTTTGATTTTGACAACGAATTTTAAATTGCAGGAAAGTCACTATATTACCAAAAAAAATCATTTTGATACTGATTTTTTCTCAATTATGTCATTACATTTATAACTTTATTGCAATGTCAACCAATTGACCAATTCAAGAGATGTTATTGTGGTTTAGAAGCTTGATTTATAAGATCGATTTATACAACACATAAATTAAGGTCGGTCCAATGGTTCAAACTCACTTACAAATCAGCAAAAATGGCATGGTCATCTTTTCATGAGATGTTATTATGGTTTAGAAGCTCGATTTGTACAGGTAAATAAAGACCCATACAAGGTCAATATAAGACCCCGTACAAGGTCGATTTATACAACAAATAAATGAATACCCCTACTAGGTCGATTTATTTGTACAACAAATAAATGAATTGTTATTATTTTAAAATAGTCTAAAATAAATAGTCAAAACTACGAGTTTAGCAACAGAAGCAATTTTATGTTTGAATAAACTAAACATTTTACCTACCAATGATCATTTTGCAAGACTTAAAAAGATTAAAACAACTATAGAAAGTTGTGTGTTACAACCTTTGAATACTTTGATCCTCATGGGAGATTGGAAGTTGATGAAGTGTGACATTAAGCTCTAAAATAAGCTCTCTATAATGTATCCACCAAGGCAAGGTTAAACCTCAAAAATATGCTAGTATACACATGAATAATGTTGTTCTTAAAGTTTAATACTTATACCAAATAAGTATTTAAAGAGAAGCAACTTTAAAATCTTCATTTCTAACACCAAATGGAAGAAAAAAGAAGAGAATGAGAGACTTCGAATTTCCGAAAATTGGCAGCCAATTTAGAGGTTTCTAGTGAGCAAAAAGACCAAGTAACTCATCATCTAAAGCCTATCAAATATAGGGTTTGCATCGAACACAATCTCGTATATCTTTTTATGTCGATCCAGTGGTTCAAAGTCACTTAAAAATCAGCGAAATGGCGTACTCACCCTTTTAGGTGAAACTTTTTATTATAATGTTTAATGCTTAATTCTCATAAGAGTATTTCTTCACAAATGTCATCTAAAAGTCAATCTAGTGGTTCAAACTCACTTAAAAGTTAGTGAAAATGGCGTACTCACCTTTCAGGAGATGATATTGTGGTTTGGAAGATTGATTTGTACGACAAGTAAATGAATACCCTTACAATGTCGATCCAGGAGATGCTTAATGAGTTTGAACCATTAAATCGACCTTATAGGGGTCTTCATTTGCTTGTTATATAAATCGAGCTTCTAAACAATAATAACATCTCTTGAAATGGTGACTATACCCTTTTCATTGACTTGTAAGTGAGTTTGAACCATCTGGCCGACATTCATTTATTTATTGTACAAATTAGCTTCTAAATTGAGCTTGTAAACCATAATAACATCTTCTGAATCGGTCAATTGGTTGACATTGTAAAAAAATCATAAATATAACAACATAATTGAGAAAAAAACTCGGTGTCAAAATCGAAATTTTATGGTAATATAGTGACTTTCTTGCAAATTTAAACTCGGTATCAAAATCAAAATTTTTGTAAACTTTGTGACTTTATTGTAATTCTGAAAAAATGGTTACCGGAAGAATAGTAAGAACCGATCATTTAGTTGATATTGCAACAAAATTATAAATATAAAGATATAATTACGAAAAAAAATAATTCAGTGTCAAAGTCAAAAAAATTCATAATATAGTGAATATTTTGTAGTTTGTCCTTTAAATTACAATTCTCCTCGGTCCAAGCCACCGTTTCAATTCCTCACCATCCCCCAATATCTCTACTCAAGCATTAATGATTAAACCACTTATCGTACGTTTTAATAAACTTTTAAATCTCCGCCGCTTCAACTTCCCATGGTATCGCACGATATATATGTATCTACAATTTGATTGGATTCAAACTTCTTCAAAACCAAAACTCGAAGCACCTTTCTCTCACTGTCAAATAGGAAAAGATGATGAAGTTGGGTCCGAGAGATATGCCAGGGTCGATCTGGGACGAAAGAGGGAAGACTAAACTCGTGCAAATTCTGGTTTCATATAAATATTCTGGCATAAGTTCGATCCAGTTCGCATATGTCGTGCATGGTGCAGTGCGTCATTCAGAAATCTATGGAAACCCCGATGGCGCTGAATTTGATACGGTAAGTATGATCGGTTTCAAGTCTTTGCTTCCTATTGTTTCAATTTAAATCACAAGTCCATATGCTTTCGATATCCTCTTTACTTTATGTACATATTTGGTGGAAAACATGCAGGTAGTCTTTTGTAACTAGTAACAGTTAATATTAGAGATTTTATTTGATATATTCGGCTCTGGTATTACATAAAATTACAGAGTAACAGTATTTATTATTAAAAGTGATTTTACGACATTTGATAATTTTAATATAAGTTTCTTTTCCTAAAAGAATATAAAGTCGTCTTTTCTTTTGCACATCTGGACCATGTAGTTTATTTATTAACAATTTGCATCAACCACTTGGTTAAACAAATTTTTTCTTTGTTTAATTTGTATGTGTTATGTGCCAAACAAATTAAAGTATATTTACATGTCATTAAAAAACTAACATAGGTTAATTTGCATAAACATACCGTATAAATTAATCTTGTAGTGTTTTCTTGCATATGGGCAAACATGTACATATGAAAAAAATTCAGATGCATATGTACAAATGAAAAAAATCATTTTTTAATAAGATTAATTTATAAAGCATTACTTTCACTTGTCACATTAAAACTATCATTTGCTGTCTCCCGATTGAGAGTTAAGTTTTATAATGGATATATGTGGAATCAGGTCTTAGCTAGTTTAAGAATATATTAGAATTGCTGGCTCAAAAATAGTATATAAGCTAACATATTTTTTGAGTTTATTGCAATATGATGTTTACCTACCACTAAAGTAGGTTATAGTTGGTTTATTAGATAGTTTTTTTTAACTATTTTAAGAATATTTGCTGATAAGTTATTGAAGTTTTTTCTCTCATTTATCCAGCTATACCTTTATATGCTCATTTTAGTTACATATCTAAATATTCTTTCATGTCGTTTTATAATTCCCATATAACTTTTAATTGGTTTACTAAATGCTATTACTTTATCAGCTATTTTTTTTCCAGCTAAAATCCAGCTTTTGCAACTAAAAACAAGATTTTTAAGTAAAAGCTAGTTTTGTAACTAGTCTCCCAAATGCCTAAAAATATTGTATGTGTTATGTGCCAAACAAATTAAAGTATATTTACATATCATTAAAAAACTAACATAGGTTAAGTAAAGTGGCATTTTTATCAAGTCAAACATTTAAAATTTGAATTAAAGTGTTTTATTTGTTTACTTTTTCAACAATATAGGTGACACTTGATTACCCATCTGAGTTTTTAGTGTCTGTAAGTGGTAATTACGGCACGAATGTTTGGAATTCGAAAAATCAATTGATGTGGATCGCATTTACTACTAACAAATGCAAATATGGGCCCTTTGGACAGAAAAACGGAGCAAATAAAGATTCATTCAGCTATAGATTTGGACTGAGATCCTGTTTTGCAGGATTTCATGGAAGCGTTTTTGAATCTTGTGTGTATGCCATTGGAGTTTATGTCAAGCCCATCGACTCACTTTATGAACTCAAGGATGAAGAATGAGTTTCAAAGCTTTTGCTACATCTTTTTAATACTACAAAGAATGCAATATATTGTCTTTTTTTATGCTAATGGATTTTATCATCAATCATTTTTGTTTCTCGGTTCTCAAATGAGCCCTTCTATATCAATTTAATGAGGCTTGACTGCTTTAGCACTTATTACTCGATTTAAACTCTTGATTCTAAAATCATTTTATATGTTAAATGTCGTATAAATTTGAAGGCTATGGTATTTGAACTTGGGTCAACTTAATTTTGGAGTGATTCATGCCAGGGTTTCACCACTCGATCACTTTGATGGTACATATAAGGTTGTATATACTATTGGTGCTTTTTATTTCCTTATGAGATCTTTACAAAGATCATGCTCGATTGATTTTGATTTAGTTTAGCACAAACAAATGCAAATATGATCCCTTCGGACATCTTCAAATCTTTAAGGTAGATGAAACTATAGGTTTGGGCTGAAGTCTTTTTTGTAGGATTTCATGGAAACGTTTGTTACTTTTCTGTGAATGCCATGTTGGTTTATGTCAAATCTGATCTCTTATGAACTAAACACCAGAGAAATATGCCAAATGCATTTACTGCAGTATTAATGACAGGAAAAATGCAATTAGATGCAATTGAGATGAGCTTTATTGATCTAGTTTGTCAATAGGCTGGTGGGACTAAGCATCTTTTCATCACACAATTCCCATGTTCACGCCAAAACAATATCAATTTTTCTCTCTTCTTACTCCAATGTGAGAAAAACTTACACTCAAAAGAAGAGTTTTTTTGTTACTTAATCCATGATGCCTATGAAAGTCCCTACAAAACCCTGTGGAAGGAGGTAAAAATGGCGGGTATGCCAAATTTTGCAAAGTTGAAATTGACTCTAAAATCTGTTTAAAAGACCTGCTAAATAAGAGTAGGGATTCTAGAAAGTACAGGTAACATATATTTTTTTATATAACCAAAAAAAATTTAAATTGGAAATTGCATGAAAATTGTGTAAAAGTCCGATTTGGATTGTGGGCTTTCAAATTCCCAACGGATCAAAATCACGCCCATTTTGAAGTTGAGCTTCTTTTTACCCCTTTTGTCTTATTCTCATTTGTCCATAAATCATTCATCTAAGGTGGTGGTTTTTCTGAAGCCAAAATGTCTGCAATCTGTGGACCACATCTGCAAGCCTCTGCAGCAGAAGAGGTGGACCAAACGTCTGCAGTCTGCAATAAGAAGACTGTTTGTTTTTATACGTCTGTAGGCTGTTAAAATCAAATAAAGTTTAAATTGAAGTAAAATTACACTTTTGTTACAATTATATTGATTACAACTTTCAAAACACCAAAAATTGGGACTGTTTTACATGTAAACTAAACACAAAAGATGAATAGAAAAGAATCTTTGGTAGCATTTAAGAGTCTTAGCATTCCTTGGGAGAGATCATTGACTCCTAGAAAAAAGATAACACCAAGTTAGATGTTCTTGATCGTATAACAAATACAGCTTGCAATAGGTGCTTGAAATAACTAGAAATAAATAACTTTGAAATAACTAGAAATAAAAAGTCTAGCATCTTTGAAGACTTTAATCAAACAGTTGGCGTGCTGTGATTATTAACTAATTTCTGCCCCATTTAGATCAATTCAACCATACATAATTTATCAAAATTGAGACCAAATATCATTCTAAGCAGCATAACAGCAATCAAAACAATTTCAACAACCATATGATATAACAATAAAAAATTTGATTTCATAATACATTTACTCAACAAAATTTGATTTCACAAGCCTTTTTTTTTTTAAATCAGAAACAAGAGGTGCAAACCTTTCTTTTGTTTTCAGTGCATTAGAGAATTTTTCCAGAAAGATTAATCCTCAATTTCATGTTTGAAGTGAAAAAAAAAACGATTACAAACCTGTTCATTTGGTGGTCGTCGGGACGCCTGCGATCGGAGAGGAGGCGACTATCGGAGAAGAGGGCGGCGATCGGAGAGGAGGGCGGCCTTGGCTGGTGCTGATCGGAGGTGATCGATGGTGGACGAGCGGTGCTAGATCGAAGATGGAGCGAGGTGTCGACAGTGGGAAGTTTGGACGATGGAGGCGGAAAAAAAATGAGCGCGTCTTTTTTTTTTAAGGTCAAAACACTTGGCAGACTTTAGAAGAGGTTGGCCGATGTCTGTGTGGTGAAGACCTCGCGCAGACCTTTTTATGTCTGCGGATTTCAGAAAAACAAACACACTGCAAACCTTTATGTCTGCGCGTGGTCTGCGCCGCGCAGACAGAAGAGATCACGCAGATCTGCGGAGAAAAAACAAACACCCTCTTATAAGTCTTCAATAATCGTTGCATCAAAATACCACAATTGTGCACCATTCCCGAGTGTGTTCATGTTAATCAAAGTAGCAAACATAAACTCGAAAATGTAAAATGAAAGAAGCAAACATTAAGTGTTTTCACTTTAGGTAACTCGAAAGTGTAAAAGACTACTCGGTGTGGTCACCTGCATTAAGAAGCCACATTAGAAGCGAGAAAGAAGAAAATGGTGTTGGGAGGAAAAACGGGTGGTGTTCCTCTTTAAAAACGCAGTTGAAAGGCCAAGAAAGAAAAAAAAATAGAGGAGGGGAGAGAGAAGAACGGGCGTTGCCCGTCGTTACCAGCACAACGGATGGCCACTTAACGTGAAAAACAGGTTAAACGGAGCGGTGTGCGGCCATTACCATGACATTTTCCGGCGTCCACTTCATCATAATAGAAGTGGGCATTGCCCACACTGAGCAGTCTTAGCAAGTATAGTAAATTTGACATTGATATCTCAAACGCTTTTTTCTATAAGGTTGATGCAGATCAAAATAAAAAATATGAAAGATTACATTCTATAGGAAACTTTTTTACCAACATAGCATCAAAACAATAAGTCTATACATTCCTAAACATTCTCCTTCCAAATCCCTACATTCTTAATATTTCTCCTTCCATTCTATCTTGTCCTGCCAAGGCCGGCTCTATGATTTTAAGGGCCCTGTGCAACGAAGAAAAATGGGGCTCTAAATATAACTTTTTAATATATAAGGAAAACAAATTTATGACGGTGAATTATCGTTACGGAAAACTTAAAAGTAAATAAATTAATTAAAAAGGAACATATGGAATTTTATAAAAATTTCAAAGGCTAATTATGTAACTTCTGAAAACTGATTTGTTAAACATATTGGAAGGAGGGGTTGTTTATGAAATATATAGTATAAAGAAATGGTCAAATGTGTAACTTGAATTTAAAACATCAAAATGTTGTGAAAAAGGATAGAACCTACTTTACTTTTGAATAAAAGACACGCCTTTGCCAATTAGGATACCCAAAACTATATGAAATATTTTGAATTCATATATATTTAGTTATTAAATATATAATTTAAATAAAACTCGGACCCTATTTTTTTCGGGGCCCTGTGCGGCTGCCCTCTTGCCCCCCCCCCCCCCTCTCTAAAAAATCGAGCCTGCGGACAACCCAATCCATCGATTTCTTATTCTCGATGTTTATTTCTTATTCTTTCTTGTTGTAAATCAGATCTAATAGACATATAAGGAAACCGACAAATAATATTGAGAATTATATATCGATTAATTGCGATAAATAAATCCAATTATTATTATTATAATTACCAAGTTTCGTCCAAAAATCAGATCAATCCTTCTCGATCAGATCTGATTATAAGAAAGTAGTAGAAGCAAACTGTCCTCTTGTTGGACGAAAAAAACCAAGACATTAATGTAAAACCGACCTGTTGACGGGTGATCTTGAACGTGGAATAATTGCACGGATCGGACTCCTATCCTTAAAGGTTTTAACTTCGCTTCTATCGGCTGTAAGCAACAGAGTAAAACAACAGAAATGGAAAACGATAAACGCAAAGTGAATACTGAGAAACTGTGAAGAAATCACAAAGAGAATGAGAGAGTTTTCAGTTTTCGTGAGACAAATATGGCTCCCAGAGGGCTGTATTTTTAGGTATCGAACCCCTAGAAGCCAATAAATGAGCCCCTTATGGGTCGCCCCCCTAGAAACCCTAGGGTGACGACTTGCTCTCCAAGCTAACCGTTTTCTAACCCTTCCAGAATATTTTGTTGTCATATCTACGAAGTCAACTGTTTGACCAGACCGGTCAAACCGACATGACCCGAACTTCGCCAAAAATAGAAGCTCATCAGTTCCCAGCGACCAATACGTCCTGCAAAGTTCTTGAGAGAGAGAGAGAGATGGATAAGTGTGTTCTTGAATGTGGGTGTGGAAGTTCTTGATAGAGAGAGGGGGAATGAGGGAGGAAGTGTGTGTGTGTGTGTGTGAGGGGGTGGATATGTGTTTTTTGGAATATGGGTGTGGAAGTTCTTAAGAGAGAGAGAGAGAGAAATGGGGAGAGAGAGAGAGAGAGGTGGGTCCTTTGTATATTTCATAATTATAAAATAATTAAGAAAATGAAAGAAAAATAGAAAATAAATACTTTAACGGTATTAAAGTCATTTCAATTTATTGAGTGATCAAACCCGACTTGACCCGGTAATCATATACATTATTATTTTATTGACAAAATGGCAAAAATGGTCCCTTTGGTATGCATTTTTTTTGGGATTTTAGTCCAAACCACAACTTTTTTTGAATTGGTGGTCCTTTTGAGATAGTTTGCTTGTGATTTTGATCATTCACTAAATTAAAATACTAAATTTCTCTTACTATATTTATTTTCCATTTTTATTTTTTCCTATAAGTATTTATATATAAAAAATAAAAGTAGCGGCCCACATACCCCCTCTCTCTCTCTTTCTCTCTCTCTCGTAAAGAATATTATATTAAACCTAACCCCTAACCCGTTTTCTTCCCCACCGTACCTTCTATCTCTGCCCCTGTCGGTCGTCTTCATGCTTAGTGATAAGAAATCGAGGGTTTGGTGTTTCAATTAACATCCTATGAACCCCTGTTAACATCCTTGACCACATAATCTGTCATGAAGATATTAATTTCACAAGCAACGAACTTGAGTACGGTTTGGAGAAAATGAGGGGCTCCGATGAAAGCGTGTGTGCATATGTGAAATCGGAACTAAAATCAACTCCCTAGTAAGTGAAAGTCCTCTACACTTATGTGTGTAAGTGTATGTTGGCTCATGTTCCTCCTGCGACTACAAGGCAACAAGTTTTGATTTTGTTCAAGATTTGATTGCAGGTGTGTTTATTTGGTCCGCTCAAGTTTTGATTGCATTTGTCTAATGGAAGCACTATGTTAGAAACAATTTTTTGATTTCAGCACTATGTTAGAACTGAAATCAATTTCTGAAATCGATGATGGGTGGCGATGACTTTAATTTTAGTATAGGTAATGATGGTGATGGCTCTGATTCCGGTAAAAATGTTGGAGGAGATGGCTTTTGTGATAATAGTAAAGTGATGAGGGGTGGTGGTTGGATTCACGTCATAGATATGATGAAGGGGATCGACGATTTAGGGGCGGTGGTGACGATGGCGAACATTGGTGGTCGACGCTGGGTGGTTCTTTCCCCTTCTACTATCTTCCTTGGTGGTGATCGATCTAGTGATGGTGGTGTTGTCCCTCGGAAAAAAGCAATGGTGATGAACACAATGGTAGGTGGCCGGAGGTGGATGTCGGACCTGTTTTTCGGCGAGGTTTTGGGTGGTTCTGTTTGGGAATTTATGTCGTGAATGAGGGGAGTCATTTGGTGTGGATCTTATCTACAAAGGTTGTCGGAAGTGAACTCCAGTAAGACGGCACACAGCGGCAACGATGGTTGTTTCTTATTTTGAGAGAGAGAGAGAGAGAGAGATATATATATATATATATATATATATATATATAGATATATATATATATATATATATATATATATATATAATATATATATGAGAGAGAGGTTTTTATTAATAAAACTTTAAATTAAATAGAGAAAAACATAAAAAAAAATATCAGAAGGGTATTTTAGTCTTTTCAGCTTAGCGAATGTCCAAAATCACAAGCAAACTACCTCAAAAGGACCACTAATCCAAAAAAAGTCGTGGTTTGAACTAAAACCCTAAAAAAATGCATACCACAGGACATTTTTGGCTGTTTTGTCTAATTTTATTTTATATTTATTATACAATGTATTCAAAAAACAATTACTTCAGACTTAATAAACACGCGAACGGGAAAAAGGTTTCTCACTTTCACGATTTCTCGCTCTCGTGTTCTTAACTGGGAAGTGTGGAAACCTAAACGACTTAGGTGTTGTTTGTTTTTTCGAAGCGAAAATGTCTAAAGTCTGCAAACCATCTCTGCAACCATCTGTAGCAGAAGAGATGGACATAACGGCTGCAACATTTAATAGAAAGTTTGTTTGTTTTTTAACGTCTGCAGACTGCTGCAGTAAGTTAAAGTAAGATGTGAAGAGGTTTGAAGCAGTTGGACTATTGTTGCGCCACACAGCACACGCGCAACAGTTTTTAAGTTAGAAGTCTTCTGAAAAACAAACAGTTGCGAATGGTCAAGTGTTGCGCGTGTGTTGCGCGGCGCAGTAATAAGTGGTTTTTTTTAAAAGAAACAGCACCTTAACCTTGGAGCTTGGAGGTTTCCGGCTATTAACCTGCAATCTTGCATCACCGACTTCACCTTGGAGCTTAAAGGCTGCCGGCGCCCGGCTGGAACCCTAACCCACTGAATCTGTCACCAATACAAGTAAGCTTCTTCTTCTAACAGGTACATTAGAACTGAGAGTTAACAATTTTTTTCTGAGATCATCCCAGCAGGGTTTAGTAACATGTCAAAACTTGTTTATCTTGATTTTGATTACAAACATTTTCCAGCCTAATACCTCCAGAAATCGGGCTCTTGGAAAATCTTGAAACCGTATATTTTTTTGAAAAAATAAGGGTCTGTTTGGTTCGCAGAATGTTGCTGAACGAATTGCATTTGGAATTGGAAAAGGAATCTATCAGGAATTTGAATCCAATTCCATGTCCTGTTTGGTTGGCAGGAAATGGAATTGGAATTAATTCCATATTTTGTTTGGTTCGCAGGAATTGGAATTGGAATCCATGTAAAATGATAGAATTGCCCTTTTTGTCTATATTGCTTAATTTTACTTCCCTTTTTAATTTATATGTAAAGATACATTACATAAATTATAAAAATAATAAATTTAATTTAATTGATTGAGTGTTTGTGTCAATATAATGTGAAAATCATGCAAATGACTTCATAACTTAAAATTCTTTAAATACACATCCCAATAATGTTACCACAAAAAACATAACTTAAAAGCTATCATCTTCTTCGCTAGATATCCTAATATTGTTACCAAAAAAAAGTTAACGTAAATTATTTCGTTACATCCAAATCGAAGCCACCAAAAACTTTTTCATATGCAAAATACCGATCAACATCCAATGCACATCCCAATTGGTAATACTACCCTTCCAAAATGTATTTTACCCAAGCTTCTCTATCACCTTCTTCAATTTCCCAAAAATTTTGAACATTAATGGGATCACTTCTTATCTTGGTCAAAGCTTTGAACTTTTCAAGTTGACTTATTGAATTCATCTTTAAAATCGCTGGAGGGATCTTCTCACTTAACTCGTTAATCTTCATGTCAAATTTAATACCTTCAATCAAGTCCTTTGATATTTCTTTAAGACTTTCTGTAATTAAGCCAACCGCCTTGTTAAACCCCTCGTCGCTTCGATTTTTCCTCTTCTTGGAACGAACACTCGGTGAAGTTTCATCATGTTACACGGCTGTAGTACGACTAACTTCCTCTAAATCTAGAAAATCATCATCTGAATCTTGCGTTTCTTCTTCTAAATTCACCTCTTGTTCCATCTCCATGAAATCTCTAGCTCTATTTCGTTGAGCTCGGTCTTTTCCAAAAACAATGCAAAGATCTTCATAATAAGGAAATGTTTTGTGTTTCCATCTAGTCGCTTCTTTATGTACCTATTTACCAACATTATAATTCATATAAAAAACAAAAAGCAAAATATTTCCATGTAGTCTCTTAATTATTAAAATGTACCTGTAGGTACGCCTCCCAGACCGGATCCTCAGCAGTAACACAATGCTTTTCGGGGTCATAACCAAAACCGCTTGTGTTTGAACCGTTTACCATATCATAGACACATTGCCAATCTTTCTTCATGGTTTTTATCTTAGATTCAAATATGTGGCTTACCTAAAAGACCTGAGTTTGGAAGTGATTGTTTCAATGCTTGCTCAAGGTGTTGCAAATAACCGGATTTGAAACCATTATCGGCTTTAAACCCTCCAACATTTGTCATATTCACCAACGCCTCAACTAGCTTCGTTTCTTCATTACTTGTCCATGGCCTATAGTTTCTAATTTGGCTTGTCATACCTATAAACATAACGAACAACAATAGATAAGCAAAACAACATTTTTTTTATAAATAGATAAGCAAAATAACAAATGGTCCAATACAACAACCAAGAAATACAACAATTTGTCCAACATAACGATAAGCAAATAATACATCATTTTAATTGGTTGCCCCTCTAGATGTAAACATATTATGGGCTAAGTTATCTCTAAATATGGTCCATTCATTTGATGTCCCGATAGAATTAATAGTATCCACATCTTCATGTCCAAGATCTTCAAGTCCCTCGTCCTGATCACACTCGTCCAATGGATCTACTCTCATTTCTTGCCTTATGAAGTTATGTAGAAGACAACATGTCATTATGATTTTATTTTTTGTTTTAATTGGATAATATGAATTATCCTTTAATATTTTCCATATTCCCTTCAAAAGGCCAAAACATCGTTCAATAACATTTCTTGCCGATGAATGTTTCATGTTAAAGAATTCCTTTGGTGTAGCTGGTTGGTATCCATGACGCCATTCATTTAAGTGGTACCTCTGTCCTCTATAAGGCGCTAGAAAACCCTCTCCATTTGTGTATTCGGCATCAACCAAATAATAACCTATAGATAAGAATTGTAGTTAATAACTTATTAATAAAAATTTATAAATAAGATGTATAGTTAAAAAAGAACATACCCGGCCTTGGAACTTTAAATCCATGTGGTCTAAGAAGAGCATCACGAAGAACTCTACCATCCGCAGCCGAACCCTCCCATCCAGTTAACACATATATAAATTGCATATCTTGGGAACAAACCCCTAGAACGTTTGTTGCAATGTCATTCTTTCTTGTTCTATATCTAGGCTGATCTTCGACTAGAACTAGACACTTTATATATGTTCCATCTAAAGCTCCTAAACAATTCTTAAACCACTTCCATCTTTGATCAGTAGAGTTATCGGGAACAGGTTCGGGTTTCTTAAGCAAATGACTATGCAATCGTATGACTGCATTACAAACTCGAATAAAATGCCTACTAATCGTTTCTCCCGAGCGACGAAACCGACATATTATAACACGATTCTTAACATTATGAGCAAGAATATGCAAGAAAATAGCAACTTGTTCATCAATCTCCATATTCCTACTTGGTTTTAGGCCTCCCAATGTTTCAAGCATACAACATAACTTAGTAAAACACATTCTAGACATCCTAATTTGTGATATAGACATGGTGTCACTCTCATAAACGTATCTATGTAGTATTGGGTATCGATCTACATTTGAAGAAAGATGCTTAATACGTCTTTATCCCTATGCTTTTTAAATATCATTAACAAAAGGACTACAACAACGTGTAAAACCACGTTCCACCATGTTAAAATCAATGAAGTTTGCCTTTGTCTACGATTGCGTGTTGTTAAACTAAGTCGAGGCATTTTCCTGTAAAACAGAAAAACAGTATACATATTCCATTGATAGCAAAAAAACAAAATGGCATATATTGATAGCAAAACAACAAAACCACAACATGTTTTCTGTTCTATCAATTTAGCAAGAAACCAATACATGTTTTCTCTGTTCAGTAACAGTTGTTGGACAAGGAATTACACAGCTTCATAAAAAAAATTAAACCAAATAACCTGATTAGCTTCTCAGTTTAAACGAAATCAAAACAAGCAGGGAAAGAACATTCGGTTTTTTTGAAATCATGAAAAGAAGGAGAAATTAGAAAATCAAAAAAATTAGAAAAGATGGAGAGAATATGAAGAAATCGATTAGCTAACGGTTGTTGTAGACCATGAATCGACCATGAAATTCAGAAAAGAACTTTAATTTAATCGATATGATTCACTTGAATTCAGAAATCAAATAGCTTGAAACCATGAATCGACCGAGACATGCTTCATAGGTGTTGTTTGGTTCGAATGTGAAGAGAGAGAGAGAGAGAGAGAGAGAGAGAGAGATCACCTGGAATGAAAGTCGTCGGCCGATCCTTGTTACGATGAGGAGAAGACGTGAAGATGGTGGATGTCGGCTCAATGAGAATGGGATGAACGAACTAGGTTAACTGATGTATTGTAATGTTTAGCGAGGGCAAAAGTGTAATCTTGTGCTTTCCATGTTATGAAGGAATTAATTCCTTTGATATTGTGAAGGAATGGACTTTCCTTCATTTGAACGGAAAATAATTCATTTAGCATTCCTTTTCCTTCCCTTGAAGCTGAACCAAACACAGGAATTTGAGGGAATTGGAATCCTTTTCCCTCAAATTCCATTTCATTCCTGCCAAACAAACACCCCCTAAGTTAAATGGTTCAAACTTCAGTCCCACATGAGA